TAAATGTGTATAAACATTTTGACATGTGGGTATCTGGCGAAATCAAGCGATAGTAAATATAATGAAGATACTGAATATTTAATAATATAATATTACATATATATATATATATATATATATATATATATATATATGTGTGTGTATGTATTTATGTATGTATGTATAAAAGGCTCAAACACTAATATTCCATTGTTATAATTTATTACATTGGAATCGTAATCACAATCCAATGGATCAGACCTACAAACTCAAAATGATACATTCTTGCTCTGACCTGGACAATGAGATCTAGCTGAATTCTACCCTCTTGGAAATATATATATATATATATATATATATATATATATATATAGAGAGAGAGAGAGAGAGAGAGAGAGGGAGAGAATATTTAATAATATAATAGTTTTCAACATATTCGTAAACTTACTAAATGAAGAATTTATTGTTTTCAAAATTCGACAAACAGCTTTCTTGTTTGTTTTTTTTTATTATTTTCGAGCTATAATAGGAGGTCACGTGTATATTCGGAAAACGACGACAAGTAGCTGGGTGCGTTTTTGTGAAAAATGCCAGGTTTCGAAGTGTCTCATCCATTAAAAAATATCGAATAGTCGAGTTGGTATGATATTGTAAAAGACTTCTACTTCTATTATCAGAAAATGGCTCCGTTTTTTGTCTTTCTAGAAAGAGTTCCTCTTATTTTTGAGGAAATGCATAGTTTATCATGTCCCCGATTCTTGGGTCTTTCAGGACGAGATTGGTGAGACGACTTAAATGGATCGGTCCACTCTTAAAAAACAGGGAAATCAAAATCTGGAATAAGTATCGTAGATTAGCAATCATGGGATCTCCTCAACTCATTTGTCAGAAGCGAAGAATTTTGAGTTTATAACATTTTTAGATTTTAAAGTCCTGTTTATAATATCTCTCTGCTCTGTTGCAGCATTCACGGAAGATTCTCGGACGGACTACATTCCTTGATTTCACTAGTTCTTGACCTTCACGGTTAGGACCCGCCATGTCACTTACATTTTAGCAAACATCCCCACTATCCTTCTGTAATCCATCGGTCGGAAATAAGTTCCACTCGAACAGCTTCTTCCCGCGAACTTCTGTTCTGTGGAACCGACCACCAAAAGGATGTTCCTCGGAATCACTACAATCTTAACCCGTTCAAGTCTAGGGTTAACCGTTACCTGTCCTATCCGTACAAACTGTTCCCTAACGTAACGCTCTAATTCTAGTGCCTCCCAGGCCTGTTCCAGGGTGAATCTTACTATATATATATATATATATATATATATATATATATATATATAAAGAAAAACAGACCACTTTAAGGCTCTCCATTGTAATAGTTTATTTCATCAGAGACCTTTTACAAGACGCTGGATCATCAGGCATCACTTCCAAAAGGTGAAACGAAAAATAAAATGAAAATTTACACTTTTGACGGGTAGTATTAAGTTTATGTAATTTAACAGAGAGGGTAGCCAGGAGTGGTGGGAGAGACATGGTCGTGTTTAGAGAGGATTTATTTTTATATTTCTTTCTATCATACATAGTATTGAGGAAGGAGGGACCAGACATTGACCTATTTAATCGGTCAACTTAACGGAAATGATATGCTGAAAGGGATGGAGAGAAGAGAGAAAAAGAAAAAGGAAAAAGAAAAAAGAGGGAAGTAAAGAGAAAGATGTATTTAGGGTTTACGGAGGAAGAAGAGGGGTGGTGTAGTTTTAGCAATTTCGGTATGAAAAAAACAGATTTTAACTTTTGATAGTAATTTAAATGTTTAAAAAATCCACGAAGAAATTAATTTGATGCTTGATAGCAATTTAAATATTTAACTCTTTTACAAATAATTTAAGGATTTAATATGAGTTAAATACTATAATTAAATACACATTAATAAAAGACACATTAAAAATATTAAAAATATAAAAGTTTACTGATAGTAATCTTTTAATATTGTAAATGACTGTTAACTAACATCTTTATCAGTTTGAGTCTAATTCATGAATGTAATTTGTGACTATTTTTAGATGGGTAATTTTTCTTTCTTAAAGTTTAGGTTTCAAATTAAGATGAAGTAATATTTGAAGCTAATATTAAGAAATTATTGCTTTTCCATATATATATGCCACATATGCAATTATGTAACTCTCACATATACATATGTTCATTTACATGTGCAATTACACACATAGGCACACACATATTTATCGACATACACAGGTACGTATGCAAATTCATATATAAATACTTACACATACATTTACAAATATTTACACATTCATATTTATATCTATTTAATTTTTTCCTTAAATTCCACAGTTAATGTACCAAGTTTTCCTAACTTATATATATATATATATATCTCCTTTTACCACTGTGATGGTCCAAGGTAGAATCAATAAAGAACTCAAACACGGATATGGAATAACACAGATATATTACAAACATATATTCAGAGAATTAGAAAGTGTTAGTACGAACAATCAGGTTTAGTAGGGAGAACAATGTAGTCTTGACCAGTATCACTATTCCAATATCTTGGAGTAATTGTCTGAACGCGACTGTTTTCGGACTGCCTCTGACTCGACTGACTGACTCGCTCAGACTGACTGACAGACTCCTGACGGACTTCACTCCAGACTTCAGAATGAACGGTATTTAGTCACCCCCCCACGAGGGTGTCATGTGGTACAAGGCCGGTTTAACGTGGGATTTCCGAGCCCGTGGACTCGGCCAAAAATATGCCCTTTGAACCCGTATGAAAGGGTTCAGGTTCGGTTTACCTCCCCGAAAGAGACTCCGCCCTTCGGTGTAGCCTCGTTCGGGTTCCTCCCCACCCGAAGACAGAGAGTTCAACCGATCAGTAGATCAGCCGGTCGCCTGACTTCAGACTGAACTCCCTGCTTTCTCTTGAGGCGCAGTATTTATTACGCATGGAATAGTCCATTATGTTATTATGGGTAAGGTCCCATAACATATATATAATGGTAATGTTCATGGCTTCTTAAAGAGACATCTGTACTTGTTTTTATTTACAAATGTCATGTTTGAAAATGGTTACATCATCACTAGTACATAGTTTCAAATTTGACCTTTGTAAATGAAATCAAAATTACAGATAACTCTTTAAGAAGTCACATGATCGATTTCATACTGTATTTATACGAAAACCATATAGAACCATCTCTTAATGGCTGTTGTTCCCAGATCTACCTTGACACGGAGTTGTAGCAACTGCTAGGGCCCGAACTATGGGTAAATAGTTAAATCCAAAACTGGGGCTAAAAAACTATGAAAGCATGAAATATATTTTTATAATAAAAATACCAGTAATTTTACATTTTGTAAAAGAATAAAATAAAATAAAATAACCAAAGCGGAGGTTGTAAATGAAACGGTAATCTTTATAACATCAACAAAATTCCATACTCGCCAGCGGCGTGAAGTAGGTAAACCACTGCTAGTGGTGGACTACTTATACAGCACCTTACCCCCACTTACTATATTTCCAAGGTATTTATGAGGATTGGGATATACCAATTAGTGTTCATAGGTACGGTATATAACAACAGGTGTGAATCTCGGATGAATCTAGGAAAAAAAAACGGTTTTAGATTAAATGATTTTTTACTGCCGAAATATCTTACTCAAATTGCCGGGCATCGTTCAAACTATCATGACCCTCCACAACATCCTGCCATTTGTAAATCTTACCAAAGTTTGCCTACTTACTATCCATGCTTATGGCCAAATCACGTTGAAACACCCGTTCCCGCTCGATCGCCGAAGTTAAACAATGTCAGTATCTTGTTGGGCAGCAGGTTGGGATTACCTGGTGCTGTAAGCTTGCATTTGCGGGTGGTGTAATGGAAAATGGTTCGGAGATGTTAATCGGAGTTCTAATTCCCGTTGGGTTCGTTATAGCCACTTACGAGTAATACGACCTCGAATCCACCTCTTCTCCCTTCACATATGGGTTAATTAGTAAGGCTTTTACCACTAAACCTTTATTATCTCCCAAAGAAATTCTGACCATCTAAAAATATTTTCTGGCTTTAAATAACCTGCTAAGGGTTGATGAGCCGGAGATCCGTTATTTGTCGTCCTATTCCTCTCCTGCCATCCATATACACATATATATATATATATATATATATATATATATATATATATATATATATATATATATATACATACATATATATGCTCTTTACGTACGTTATAAGCTACTTTCCTATGTCCCTTTTTTAATTTAATATGCCCTGCAAATATCAAATTCTTCATTTTTTTCTTTCTTCATTCTGGATCCTAGTAATTTACACTGATATTTCTTGATTTTAAACATAAGTGTCCTTTTTGTTCGCATTTTCATTAAGCGTCCTCGTTACTTACATTCTATACTAAACATCCTTCTGTAGAACCCCATTCCCGTCCTCTCAGATCACATCTACATCTGTGGGCCGATTATCCAGCATTCACCGTCACATAAAAGGACTGATACTGCATCGTCGTTTAGCACTTTTTTTTCTTCGTTTATAATTACATTTTTTTTTCTGTTTCTTAATACTTCGATTAGCTTTTGGAAGGCATCTTTCTCTAGTCCAGTGCGACTTTAATGCCGCAGTCACGTTTCTTGTCTTCGAATGAAACAGCTTCCAGATAGTTAGATTCCTACAAATGCTTGTTTTTGATATCTTATATTCAAAGCTATCATCTTGAGCTGTCCTTTTTGCTAACGGCTGTCTTCTTCCAATTGATGTTTAGTCTTTATACCGGCTTCCGCTATCTAACATGTCTATGAGTCCATACTGTGTTCCTACTGTGTGTGACATCAAAACGTCGACATCTCTTACGTTGTTAAGATATACGTATTTATTTATAGATAAATACACACACATATAGATGGTGTTCAATAATTAGCGTTACAAAGTTTCTTTTGTCCATCTTTATTAAGCAAAACAATTTGTAAATCATTTACAAAGCCGAAACAAAAAATAAACATCCATATACTTATCTATCTATCTATCTATCTATCTATATCTATCTATCTATCTATATTTCTCATGTTGTCTGTCTGTGTGTCTGTCGTGGGCGTTGTTACCTCGCCCAGGCCACATTTCTCACCCGATTTCGATGCAGTTTTCAACACAAGTTTGCAAATGGTTGCCGTAAGGACAAGACGGAGCCCGATTTTTGAGTTCGGAATCAGGTTCCGAAAAAATCGATAATCGAAAAAATTCTGCTTACAGAAGGAATGATCGCATTTCAACCAAATTTGACACCCTCTTAGAGTCTACCATTAGAAGTGTTGTCCAGAAGTTTCATTACCACGGACCCCTAAACAGCGCGGAAAATCGATAAAACCCAAAACCGATGCGCCCAGATTGCGTCTGAACCGCATGTCGGTTTTAGCGAAAACCGAGCGGATTTATGAAGAGGCCATTGGGAGTCATCATGTGAAGTTTCAACTCTGAGCACCTCCCCAAACAGAGTGCAAATCGACAATCGGTCAACCCTTAAAAAATTTTTTTCCGGTTTTTAAAGCTGATCGTATTGTGTTTATTTTGTTTAGTTCTTTTTTCGTAACAGATTTAATGTTTACTATAGAGCTTAGAAAAAGTTGGCAGTGTGAGATAGGCAAGAAGTAAGGCATGTAACAACATCAGCACGGCAAAGGGCACTCATCTAAAGGCAAGGAAGGGCAAACATATTTTAAGTCAAGTGATAGCGATTGCTGTATTAGTCGTACTATTTTTGAATCAAGCACGGGCTACGCCGGGCCATGCTGCTAGTTTTATATATGATCTATTCAGTATACCCTCTTTCTGCGTCAATAACTTGCTGAAGACGCTTGGCGAGTAATTCACATGAAGCACGGCTAAGAGTTTAACGGATTTTATCCCATCTCTTCATCTTCAGAGACTCCAAACAAATGGTGATGTGTGTCAAAAAAAAAACAAAACTTTTCATGCGGATTCAGATCTGGGGGTTGTGGAGGATATTGTTCCTTTGGGATGAAATGATAAACATTTTTTGTGCTAAGGCAAAAGCATTGATTCAAGAATGTCCTTCACATAAATTGCTCAGTTGAGTTTAATTACTGGTTTCACAAAAACCAGCCGACTTTTTCCTGTTGCAGTCACAGCAGACTACACCATCACGTTGACCGCTCTTTGTCTTCCAGTAACTCTCCGAGGGTCACTATTTCCAGATCGAGACCAAATCCGTATTAAATATGTCCTACTTCTGAGTCAATAACTTGCTGAAGACTCTTGGTGAATGAATCGGATAAGGCAGAGACAACACTTTGTGGGATTTTGTCACATTCCTTCACGAGTTTTAACTTCATAGATTCTAAACTGCTGTTGGGTGTAACCTTGTTTTCTAAGATACCACAGATGCTGTAGTCAAGAGGATTCAGATTTTTTTAAGTTCCTCCAAACTATCAGGTCATCCCATAAGTTCTGTCCGAATTTTGAATAAAGAAAACAAGTGACCAAATGTTACATTTAATTACAGATTCAATCAACAATGTATTTTCCCTGATTATCTATGACTTCCTTCCATCTATTAACAAGCTTACTAACTCCATTACTGTAAAATTCTTTTGGATTTGATTCGAAGAACTCACAAATGTCAGTTTTAACTTCGTCCTGTGTTACAAAAGCTGTTTCTTCCAAATGATTCTGTAAGCTACGAAACAAATGGTAGTCTGAAGGAGCAAGATCGGGAGAATAAGGTCGATGAGGAATTTTCTCCCAACCAAGTTCTTCGATCTTTTGTGACATGATTCTTGCTGTGTGGGGTCGCGCATTGTCCTGATGAAACATCACCACTTTTCAATTCACTAGAGCAGGTCTTTTTTTTTCCTCAAAGCTTGGTTCAAACTCTCTAATAGCTGACAGTATATTTGAGCATTAATTGTTGCATTATATGGTAAGAATTCAAAGTGTATTATTCCTTGGCGACCCCACCAGATTGAAAGAAGAACCTTTTGCCCATGAAGTTCCCTTCTAGGCTGTGGCTGGGGTCCTTCCCCTGTCTACGACGCTTAACATTTCGATAAAAATCCGTTTTTCGTCGCCAGTCACAAGTCTATCCAAAAAAGGTGAAACAAGTTGGCGAGAATGGAGAGAAGAGCAGATGTCAACTCGGGAATTGAGGTTGTTTTCAGCCAATTCATGAGGCACCCATTTTCCAAGTTTAGCAACTTTTCCAAGTTGTTGAAGATGACGATGAACAGTTGCATGGTTTGAACTGAGAACCACTGCCAATTCCTCAACTGATAAAGCAGGATTTTCTTCAAGAAGCTTTTCATCAAACTCTACTGGACATCCAGTTCGATCTTCATCTTCAAAAGTGAAATCTCCACCTCTGGATTTTGCATACCATATTCTGCAAGTTTTTTCATTCATACATTCCTCTCCATAAACTGAGTGAATGTTTCTCGCCGCTTCGGCTGCTGAGTCTCCTTTCTTGAACTCATAAAGCATTATGTGCCTCAAATGATTCTTGGGTACTTTCATGTTAGCAGGGTTTTAATCAAACAAAATTTAATTTTATTGTTCTCTGAAATAAAATTTGATCAATTTAAATGCATCTAAACATAAAAATAATGTTCAGCTCCATTAGACATTATAAAATACTCTTTAAATTTCGTTCATTTTAACAAAAAGTTAAAATTTGGACAGAACTTATGGGATGACCTGATAGCATTCTATAAACTTTTAATGGCAATTTTCGTCGGAGCATTCTTTAGCTTCTACAGTTCTAAAATGGTGATTCTTTTAATTAAATTTTTAGCCATTTCTAAATCTGACTGAAATGATAAAATATAGGTTAGGTCTATTAAACAAATCGTGTAACATCTCAAAAAATAATGAATTTTTTAAATTAAATTAAAATTAATCTGTGTGTAACGATAAATATTGAACACCTCATATATAAATATATGTGGGTGTATGTGTGTTATAGTTATTTATATACGTATGCGTTTAAAAAGTGTGTATAAATTTATATGTGCTTATACGCATATATTAGTAGGTCTGTATCTGGCAGACACAGCTATACAGATGCACAAACGTATACACACGCGTGAAATTTAGATTTTTTTTTACCTATATATAATTCACCGATTGACCTACGTTATCAGGTAAAATATTTCTTTTGACGATAATTAAATTTAAGTTTCTTTTTATATCTATGATCTGTTGGAGATAGCAAAATTAAACAAATACAAAAATTTAAATATCTAGGAAATATTTTAACAAAGAACTATAAATGCGATGCCAAATCCAAAGGTCCGTTGCTAATGGCAATCTTAGTAGCATTTTTATTGCTAATATTAGGGGCGTCCCTATGAGTAAACATTTGGCATTCTGTTATGGTCCAGGTCAAGACCAAGGACGAACAACACGAACACAAAAGTAGAAATAACGAGGGTATATTACACGAAATAATAATACAAGATGTGGAAGGTGTTAGTATGACTGTCAGTCTGGTTTGGAGTGAACTACTATCGGCTCGACTCGATTCGATATTTACTTGCCCCTCCCACGAAGGAATGATGTGGCACTGGGCCAATTTTTACGTTGGTTTTCCGAGCCCGTATGCTCGGCCATAAAACGCCCGTAAAATGTGTAAAAACAGAATCGGGTTGATCAACCTCCCCAAACGAGGATATAACCTTCGGCGGACCCTCGTCCGGGTTCCTCTCTGCTCAGAGGCAGAGAGTTCGACCGTCAAGCCGAAACGGCTCGACTCGATTCGATATTTACTTGCCACCCCACGAGAGAAAAATGTGGCACAAGGCCGAGTTTAACGTGGGTTTACCGAGACCGTAGGCTCAGCCAAAAAATGCCCGTAGAAAGTGTAAAAACAGAATCGGGTTGGTCAACCTCCCCGAACGAGGCTCTACACCTCGGCGGAGCCTCATCCGGGTTCCTCTCTGCACAGAAGCAGAGAGTTCGACCGTCAAGCCGAGAAGCTCGGATTGATTCGGTATCTAGCCACCCCCGCGACGAGGGTTGCATGTGGCACAAGGCCGAGTTTATCGTGGGTTTCCCGAGCCCGTAGGCCCAGCCAAAAAATGACCGTATAACCCGTATAAACGAGATCGGGTTGGTCATTTCTCCCCGAACGAGATTCTGCCCTTCGGCGGAACTACGTCCGGGTTCCTCTCTGCTCAGAGGCAGAGAGTTCGACCGTCAAGCCGGAGAAGCTTGGCTTGATTCGGTATTCAGCCCCCCACGAGGGTTGCATGTGACACACGGTCGTTTTTATCGTGGGTTTCCTGAGCCCGTAGGCTCAGCCAAAAAATGCCTGTAGAACTCGTAAAAACGAGATCGGGTAGAAACATTTCACCCCGAACGAGATTCTGCCTTCGGCGGAACCTCGTCCGGGTTCCTTTCTGCTCAAAAAAGCAGAGAGTTCGACCGTCAAGTCGAGAAGCTCGGCTTGATTCAGTATCTAGCCACCCCCACGAGGGTTGCATGCGACACAAGGTCATTTTTATCAGGGGTTTCCTGAGCCCGTAGGCTCAGCCAAAAATATGCCCGTATGACTCGTAAAAACGAGATCAGGGTAGGTCATTCACCCCGAACGAGATTCTGCCCTTCGGCGGAACCTCGTCCGGGTTCCTTTCTGCTCAAAAGCAGAGAGTTCGACCGTCAAGTCGAAAAGATCGGCTTGATTCGTCCCTCTCTCTTGAGAGGCGTAGTATACATAGTGTTAGGAAGAGTTCATTCTGTAGTTAAGTATAGGTAAGGACCCATGACACATTCACTGACCGATCAGCCAGTCCTGCCTTCGATTGAAATCTATAAAAATATTTATTTTAAATCAAATATCACAAAAATAAGTATTTTAAAGTCCAGTAGCTGTTATCGCTCTTTCCAGTATTGATGGGTGTTTCCTTCCTTACCTCTTATTTGAAGTTGTGTGGAATGTCAACATCTCGATTATGTCATTATTTTCGCTCCGAGTTACTTGTGCTATCCATTTAAGACGTTACTGCTGTTGGTAGTCCTCAGTTGGTGTGGTTTGTGTTATTTGGCACAGGTCTTTTTGATTCTGTAGCACCAGACCACAATGTTTAAAGAAAGGTGGTCTATGCTCAGACCTGCAGGCTTCACTCGCTCAAAGCCATTTTCAACATTTATTTTAGAAAGCGGTTGTATACAGCTGATAGTTTAGATATTTCTGAGCAGGCTTGATGCCATGTATGATCTCCATATGAAAGTTCGATCTGACGATGCTATTTGCGAACATGATTCGAGTTCTAAGGTTAATGGTTTAATTTTGTAGCAAGTTTTGGTGTTGGTCGAAGATATCTCTGACACAGCCTATTCTATGTTCAATTTCCTTTTCTCCTCTACTAAATTTATTATAAATGCTCCATACATCTAAGCATTCCAATTGCTTAGTATTTGCTAATTGCACACACTAATATGGTGGAAACAGTGTATGTGCTATCATCGTTTTCGTTCCAATTTCAGATAATAGTTTCTGTTTTGGAAAGGTTTATCCTGAGTTTTATTTCTTGGAATACTTTTAGTGGATATTGATTATATTGTTCAGTTGTTGGGAGTGTTCCCGCGTATGTGTATTTGAATAAAGACAAACACAGTTGTAGGGATAAATACTGGTATATTTGTAAGAGGTAATTAACAACAAAGTGATTAGTAATATGGAACGCCGGTTAGTAAGTAACAATAGCAAAAGTCTACAGTCCAACGGTATGTAATGGTAACCTGATCTCGACTGCTGTCGCTGAACCTGATCGTTTACCCAACACAACTACTCTCTCTGGCACTGACTTATATCGTAGAGGATAAGTCCATTATCAGTCAGAAGGTGGGTGCTCCCCATATATATATATATATATATATATATATATATATATATATATATATAATCGACTCTCCCGTCGAGATTCGACGTATGAGGGTCAAGCAGATCAGTTTCCAGGAAACCGACAGCCCGACACCGGCACATGAGATTTGATGACAGTGGTGAAGGCCTCGTGCAGGACCATCCACACTTTTTGAAGGGACGAATACAGAGACCTAGTGCACAGAATGCCACAATGTTCCCAAATGACCTTCCGCAGGTTTTGAATTCAGAGTTGTTCTTCTCCTAGACCAGTTGCCATCCAAGGCTATAGTACCCAGTCTGTCCTGCTATTTTACCCATAGCTGGAGGAAGAGGATTCATACCTTTCCCAAGGATATAT